TCCAGCTCCCTTTATTGGTTTCATATTTGATTTGGCAACCATGTTTCATACTGTTTTCAGTGGTATTACAAAATGTACATCCACCTGTAAACTGTGAGCATGCTGCTCAGTTGTATTCAGGACTTAAAAACTACTGAAAGGGGGTTTATCATTGAAGTTAGGGTAAGCTTAGGGATTACTGTCGATAGCCCCTTTGTACACATAGTGATAATGAAAAGGGATGTGCCAGTGCAGTTAAGTTGCCTGATCTGTGGGTTGAAGAAGTTTACAATGAGTACCAACACCCAATACCTTGGCTTACTTTGAATTTGAAACTAGGGATGCATCATGTAGGAATACATTATTGCGCTACAAGCAACTTGTTCATTTTAAATGTTTTTCAAGGTCATCATCTGACTCATCTCAAAATGTCTACTCACTCAGTGCTGTAAAGAAACAGATAAAAAAACACAAGTAAACTACAGTTCTCACTGTACGCTCCATCTGACTTGAAAAAAAGAGTGAACAAGTAGAATAGCTTGTGCTCGTGCATGCCGTTCCCGTGTGAAGGAATGCTGTCGTAATTATTCTGATCCTGCCTAAAAAATTCATATTGTATAAACAAAGAAATTGTTCTTTCATGTGCAGTGTCGGCCATACATTGTGTGTACTTTTGTAATTGTGCCGGTTCAGACTTGTGTTACATGTACATGTACTCGTATATGAATGAAACCAGGAAAAGTGGGTGTGTAATCCCACAAAGCCTGGATACTGTTATCAAGGTTAGTGGGCTACAGATAATGAGCTTATTTAGGTGTTTCTGTGTCAATATTGTAAATGTGCAGAGTTAATTTTTTTCCTTGCTACTGGTAACAAAGTTGTCTCAGTTTTTCTTTATCTCACAGTAAATGTTAAGTGCCACAACATGAGACTGAATGCCGTGCTTTGATAGTTTTAATTCATAATTCTGTGGGGATGCACATTGGGAAGATTTGTATGTTTTTCAAACAGTTTAAAAAGGGTTATGTTCTCCACGGCTGAAAATTTTGGCAGGGCGGTAGACAAAATTGCGAGCGCGAAGCCCTTACGGCGTGGGGTCCAGGGCCCGCTTGAGGGCCCCGGAAAATTTTGGGTTCTAGATGCTCTGTGGTGCATTCTGGGGCAATTTCCGGTCCACTTTTGTCTGTAATTTGGCCCCAAATCTGATTGCATTTACAACGTTAAATATTGGCTAGGATATTCTTCAGGAGGAGTTTCTTCATCGGAAGATTTGATGACAAAATTATTTTAATTTCCGGAGTGTTTTTAGCAGAACCTCATGTTAGTGACTTAAGACATGCTTGAGATGAGCAGAGCATGCGGTTTTCTCAATGATCAGTTGACCGTGAAAAGGCAGAGTAAAAACAAGCCTCAAAATGCGCCCTTGAATAAAAAAGGACAAAAGAAATATTTTCAGGCAAAGAGAAGTTTACAATTTCCAGATCACGTCATAAAATGGAGCAACCCCTCCATCGGAGCAGAGCGTGGGGGCTGCTCAGGCTTGGCACGATCTTTCCACTGGCGCCCGCGCACACTCCGCAAAACAATGTTGTACCGCGGGTACCAGTCACATGCACTGCATGTACATACACATGCTTGCGCAATACAATGAACGTTTACATGTACAAAACATACACAATTGTTTTTCAAGACACAAGGTTGACTATGCATAACAGTAGGCAGCCAATGGTCACCATTGTCAGTACATCATAAGCGTTGTCAGTAAATTCAAACTCAATCCACAAACTGCGGCAAACCTCTTTTTATTAAAATCTTGAGAAAGTAGACATTCAGAGAAAAATACATGACTCAAAAAATAGCAGGGCGGCACAAATTTTAGCAGGGCGGCAAAATTTTAGCGGGGCGACCCAAAATTTTGGCAGGTCAGTCCGCCCTGCTAAAACAGCCCATGGAGAACACTGGTATAATCTTTTTGCTTTTGATAGATGCTCTTCTACAGCAGATCTACTGGTAATTCTTTTGTAACAAAAACCATTTTACTATGAATGAGACCCAGGAACAAGATTATTTTTTGCCCAAATCATCAATTTTCAAAAAGGGGATAAGAAGAGAAGGTAGGTCATTCGAAAATAAAGTGAAAAGCCACGAATGCTAACTCTAAAGAGTAATTTGCTTTATATTTGTTTGTTTTCATATCAGCAGTATTTGCTATGGTGGCTTGCTATGTGTATTACTCTGTCAGGATACCAAACTGTCAACCTCCATGGATCTGTCAGTGATGCAAACCATTCAGGGCATGTAATCAGTTTACTCGTTTGTGCATGTATTATATTCTCCTTGTTCATACAGAAAGTCATAGTTTATACATACATGTACTCTAGCATAGATAAGTTACATCAACTCGTTTATTAAAAAATGTTTAACTTGAAGCACAGAGATGTCTGTTTTTATGAAGTAATTTGGGGGTGAAGTTCTTTCCCCAATTTTTCGCAAACTGTACATGTACTGTCATTGAACTTCAAAAGTTGATTGCAACTTTTTTTCAATGATAAACTCATACTCATTTTCTTCAGAGTCTCTCTCTTTTTTTGGGGGGGGGGTTGGATATGTGTGCTCCCATCTTTCAGCTTCACAATGCAAATGGATCTCCAATAAAGAAAATGTCCAGTTTGACTCCAAACCGTTAAGCAAGAAATGTGTTAATTTTTCATCTACATCCAGATCTTTTGTGGATTGAGTCTTGGTGCCTTTTTGATGAGATTTGTGCCTGGGAGCTAACTGTAACCTTTGACCTTGTGAGGTTAAACTCTGGACCCCAGGTGCCAAAGGTCATGTCAAACCTGTCAATGACTGGGATAGGGATAGGCAAAAGTTTATGGCTGTGCATGGCAGGGCTGACCTGGTTGGGTCAACAATTCACTTAACAGCTCTTCTGCAAGAAAAGCCATTAGCAATGTAGAAAACTAACCTTGGGAGGCACTACTGTGTGTGCTCATTCATTCCTCAATGTGTATGTCATGCTTGCAGTGGTACATGGCATGTTAATAAGTTTCTGCCGGTAACAGTATGTTTACAGCTATATTGTTCCAGGGTTTCTTTAACAAGTGTCTCATTATGTAATCACATTCTAGTCTTGATGTCTATGCTATTGTACTTGTGTGATAAAACATGAAATCAGGGCACTGCAATTTGCAGTTTTATCATCATTGTGTCTGACATTTTCCAAATTTAAATGAGTGAATAAAAACATTTGTTAATTTGTTTTTGTCATGATAATATTCCTTGACTTCATAAATAAAGAATATTACCCAGTACCTTGTTAAATAGTGCTCCGACAGATGTGCATCAAGACCTTACATGCAGAGGAGGAGTAGACCTAGTACGTGCACATGTAGGTATCCTGTCAGGATTTATAATATCCTGTGTTCGGGGATTTGTTGTAAGAAACAACAATAATTCCATACGGTTCTTCCAAAACACTGAAATTGATATTTAGGTGGCCTTTGTAAATTTTGAACCAAAACCTGTATTGGAAGTGCTCCATTCTGTTCAGGTCCATCATCATGCATGTAGGTCCATAAACTTTATCATTTCTGTACTCGTTCTGCATGAAGCATACGCTAATGTTTCAGTACAAAAGTCAAAAATACATTGATAAGGTGAGTAGCAATAATGACCCTCAAAGTCTGATGTTAGATCCCCAGATTGACATGTATCCTGTCCAGAGAAATGGAGTAATGATGCCAAAAATCCCACCCCTGCCTTGTTATTTCATGAATGGACCCTTTGAAGTCAACAAGTACACACAGGATAAAAGCAAAACAAATAAAAAGATAACGCTATTAGATTCAGTGTTTGTTGGTCCTTTGATACAAGCATGCAAACAGCATAGATATTGAGATATGCCATCTAAATCATGGCCAGAGGAGGTGAGTGCATTTCCTATCACGATATCAAAGTGCTTGCCATGCATGAGGTTGAGCTTAAAGCAGGGATCCCTGGTAAAAGAAATGTATAATTTGAATTGAACTTGTGTTATTTGTTTTAAAATGGCAAGGGGAAGGTTGGTGAAAGCAACTGAAATGATCAGGTTGAAAATTGTTAAGAATTAAGAGAAGGAGAGAAAAAGAAGGATCAGTGTCAAGTTGTCGCTTGTTTGAAATAGTAACAATGGTTCATTTACCGATAAGGAGCTCTGTTTGCTCGTTAAAACATGGCCAAATTTATAGGCAAAAGAGTCTGTGAAAGATAGGTCAACAGTAGTCATAACTAAACATTGTCGGATCTAACAGGATTGCTCTTCCCCAAAACTTGTAATCTTGTCAGCATGGAAGTGCCCTGCTTTATTCTCTCATAGTGTCTCTCTCTGCTTACTGCCGGTACCTGTAATTATCTATATCTAGACTTAACCTCTCTTTGAGGTTAAATCTGCTGATTTTAGTATAACATGTAACACCCCCTCTCTGGGGAGGTTTTGCATTCAATTTTATGGGAGCTTTGTGGAAGGAGTTTTTTAAATTCCTGCTCCTGCTCTTGAAGATTCCAGTTGAATTGTACATTTTATGGTATTAATAAATACCTTAGACAATTTGACCGTTTCTAGTGGTTGACAGCCCCAAGGTTTCCAGTGTCTCATAAAATGTTATAACTCCTATGAAATCTTATCCACTTTCTCAATCCCCACTTGCCGGTACATTTTGTGCAATGCTACCATTGAGTCCGCATTTTTTTGAGTTCCAAATTCACACTGCACTGGCTCAGTGCTACCTTATGCAGTATGCATCACATAAGCACCAATAAGCCTTTTGCAAGTTACGTTTGACCCAAATCTGGTACACTGCATTTTTTAAATTCATGAGAACATAAAAACTTGAATTCTTCTTACTAAAACCACTGTTGCTATACCTCATGATTTGGGGCAAGCTTTTGCTTAGTTACATAAGAGACGCCTTGCAACAATACACTGTTCTCAATGGATAAGAAGGGCACAAAAGAGTGAACATTGGCAGGTTTGAACTTACCCCAACTTTTTGCGTCCATGGCTAATGTGTTGAGCCATTATCTCACAAAGGTCACAGGGTCACAAATAACGCACCAAATAATTCACACGGTAACTTAGTAGTGTAATGCAGTACCTTTCAAACTTTTCGTCAATATATTTACAGTTACCGGTAAGTACTAAAAGATAAATAATAGTGTTCGAAAATTATACAAATAATTTAATTTTAAAGAATATGTGCAAAATGAATGGTTTTATAATGTAATGAAAGAGGTGTCGTGAGCAAGACTGTGTTTCACTCCCTTCTCGTGTACGTGTATTTATAATAGCCTTGTGGTTAGGTACCAGTCTGCTATAATGCTTGGCCTGGTATGTGTTATATCTCCATGCATCATGTTGTACTTCTATTGTTCTAACCTTTTACTCCGCTTTCTTTCAATATTAACACCAGCACGCAAATACTGGTCAGATGGGCAGTCATTCTTGCACTCGCAACGTCAACTTGGCATATTGCGCGACGTAAACAACAACAGCAGCTTGTGAATGTGCGCACTCGGCATTGTTGGATTGGACTTCCACCCACAATTCATTTGGGAACTTCTGGATGGGCACCCTCTGTTTACACATTTCCCGGGGTTTGATTGCCAGTGTGAAATGACTGTGCATATTCCTGGGAAATAGTGTCTCCAGGAGTTACTAAATGGGTCTAGTGTGAACAGTTGCTGGGGTTTTGGTGGAGTGAAAAATCCCCAGGAATGGCTCTGTAGTGTGAAAAGGCCTAAAGAAATCAGTCCACTCCAGTGATGGTGGCCGCTGTGTGAAAGCGTGCCCTGATTCACAAGGTATAGCAACAGTGGTTTTAGTAAGGAGAATTCAAGTTGTTATGTTCATGTGAATAACTCAGTGCACAAGATTTTATTCAAATTTAACTCGCGAATGGCTTATTGCCACATCAGATTGTATTTGACCACTTGCCAGTGGGATAATGATGCACCATAACATGGCCAGAGGAGTGTTTGTATTTTTGAATAAAATTGTCGGAAAGGTATATTTATTGAAATGTGCATTGGCTTTGTGACTCAAAAGGCATGATCTTAATGAATGGCAATAAATGTGCACATGCTTAGCCTTACATGTTGGTTTTAAGACTGGCCTAAGAGAATGGATACATTATCAGCTTGCATTCTCCTGAGCCAATCTCAAACAAAGGTTGAAGACAAGCCAAGCACAAACTTCCTTGTTTTCTCCGACATTTGAAATGTTTTTAAAGGGTCTTGTTAAAGTAAAGTACATCACATTATTGTGGCATCTTTAATAGCAATGAGATAATCTTCAAAGTAATCTGCACTTTTAGGGAGTAAGTCGGCCTCTATACATTGGCTACACTCTGGTATACATGTACATGTACATGTTCCCGATTCAACTTGAGCTCATGGAAAAAGCTGGTTTATGGTGAAGGGTCTTTCAACAACTCCAGTTATTAAACAAAACTGGATGAAGTGGAAGTAACCATGCTGTCATTTCAAGCAAGTGGGCCATTAATGTCTTGACGATTGATCCATTGCCATGTTAAGCAAGCACAGGATAGAGGCAAATAGCATGTCCTATCATGGGAAAAGATCACTTGAGAAGAAGATTGGTGTCAGAAGTCATGAAATTCTGTATTCCCAATTCTAGGCCAGTGTGATAGTACTACCACTCATGATTGTCATTAAATAAACCACCTGGAAAATCCAGCTAAATGTGCATTGATAAAATAATGATCGAAAGAAGGATATATCAACTGAGTTACCTTTATGTGTAAGATATAAGCCTTCAACCCAAGGAATGCTCTGTCAGCACTACATGCACCACCAAATGAATCAGCCCTGCATTGGCAGGGTTCCAATGTAGCAGAGTGGGCTTTTGTCTTGACAGTTTGTTTTACAGCTTAATACTTGAAATTATGAACTGATACCAACATGATTTCATTTAATATTGCAAGTAGTTCCTGCCAAAAATCATCACATATTAGTTTAATTAAATCAAAATTAACATTGTCTTCCGTGTCAGTTTTATACTTTAAATGAAATGAGCTTGAAGTTGAGAAGTGTACTGGGGCCTATGTGCCAGTGTTGGATTTGTTTTAATTTGTAATAAATGCTAATGATCACAAATCTACTTTAATAATGATTATAGAGTGTAAAAGTGAATACGTCCTTCGCCCAAGTTTGTGTGTGAAAGTCAGTAGCACGAGAACCAGTGTGTGAACCAACACGCGCGTATACTCCATTCCTTTGCACTGCACTCCCTTATTCAAAATGTCACACTTCAGTACTCTCTAGACAACTCTCAGTTTGCCTACACCATAAATGTATATTGGTGGCCAAAGTTAGCAGAAATATCACCTTTTGATTGGTTTTCAATTTAACCTTGAATTCAGTCAAAATGGACATTTGTTCCATTTAATTTTAAATAGGGGTGTATTTCCATTTAGTATTGACGGTAGTAGTACATGTATCATTATCTGGTGATCTGATATCTGTGTAGCATTTTCAACTCTTTATGAATTATTCTTTTACTTTTGTATTAATGGCTAACTACTAAGTACACTTTGGTTGCCACTTGTAGGAAAAACATGACTCTGACATCAAAAAGAGCAGACCCTCTAACTAGCATACAGTGCGTCCCCCCCCCAAAAATACAACCTTACAGGTAACTGTAATTAACATTCATTTCCCAAACATGAATGAATAGCTGAATATTCAGCTATTTAGTTTTGGAGAAGATCAAGGTTATTGGGTTTCATTGTTTTTTTTGGGGGGGGGCATGATACTGTATAGATATTTGAATTACTCTCTAATGTGGTTGAAATTTTGAAAGGCTTTGGAAAGGTGTTGACTAAATGAGTGCTTTTCCTGCATGCTGGACTTATTAGTTATAGTATTTGAACAGTTTCAGAGATCTCTTTTTTTCCCTGAGTTAACGGTATATTCCATACCGTGTCTGGTTTGAAAGGATCAATGTTCGTTTACCAGTTAACTGACTGTATCCTCAATTGTGAACTTATTCCAAGCGGGCACTGGACTCATTTTTGACAGGGATTTATCAGCCACAGATGTTAGGAAACCAAAATCAATTTCCAAAGAAATAAGAATTTCCCTGAACTGGTGATGCAATGAATCTTGCTTGATATGATGGACCCTGACAGCCCAAATGCTGTGAAAGTTGTGTGGTTGACACATCTGCACATGTCCTGTGAAACCCAAGTCCAGCATACTTGGCAGTGGTATGGCATAGCTATGTTGATGTTAGAGAGGTCAGCTACCCTTTAAGAAATTGTGTCTGGCGACATCTATCACTGTGCCATCTATGTTGATTAATACTGGAGATTCTTCAAACTAAAAGCTACCTTTTAAGGAAATGAAGTCATGAAGGTTTCGCCAACAAGGCAGCTGCCAAAAACTGTCCTTTGTTGTGTCAGAAGGCAGTTACACATTCTGAACAATTCTTTTACAGTAGGCCTTGGGACAGGTACCATTGTACTACTGGTACAGTACAGTTTACTTTGAATACACTTGCTTGTGCAGAATTAAAAGCTATTTGTATTTGGCTCTGTTTGACAGTGGAATTCTTTATGTTGGCTTAGAATTTACATGGATCGCAACTTGAACTCCATTGTACTTTTGGCTGGCCTTGACACCTGACAAAAAGTACATGTATGTGATGTAATATCTGCAGTAACAGCAATTGTACTGTGGAGGTGCCTGCATGTATTCCACCCTCTCCAACAGTAATCTGAAGTGAGCCCTCTTGTGATATTTTAGTGAAAACTCTACCTTGGAGTATAGTAAGATGTTGAGAGGCTTGAGTCAGTGGGTAGCAGTTTCTTTGGTGTGTTTATGATTTACATGTATTTTGCATCTTGTAGCAACTTTTATAAGTTTGTTCGATTTTTGTCATGGAAAATAAGCAGAGAATGTTTCCCAACTTTAAGGATTAGCACAAGCCCATGTACATACATGTGCATTGTACAGTACATGTACAGTACATACAAGTACAGCACATTCTTTGTAGGGAATTGAAATTAGTGCTTGTTATGTACCTATCATTTCCCAAACTGAGCCATGATGCCCTGTGTTTTGTGTGCCCTTTTGGGGGTTGGGGGAGGGATGGGGACCCAGATGCGTTGAATAGATGAGGGGGGAAGTTCTGGTCCGTAGACCTTTTCTGCATATCAGTTTGTTATTAGCCTCTCCTTCTAATTTAATTTCATGGGGGAGTGAGTGTGCCCTTGAACACCTTGGAGCAATATTGTACTTCCCTTTTTTTGCAGTTATAAGATGTTGGTCCTGTCTTATCCCTTCAGTGAGTTGAAGGTCTACACATGCATTTACTTTGACTTGTATGTAAATTAAAATAGTATCTTATTTCATTGAAAAACATGCACTTTTCTGTGAAAGTGACGTGGTACACGAACCGTAGATAGCCGCACCGTTGGGAAGAATGCTCTATCCCAGTAGTAATTTACGCGTACACTCTATTTATGATTCATAGCCACAGTAATTGAAACTTTGTTTTTGGTTTGATTCCCTGTGCCAGCTTTCTGTTAAGCGCTTTATATTAAGTACACTGGAATTAAAAGCTCATGTGTACTTGTATGTAGACAGTGCATACTAATTATACTCTCAAGTAGGTGATGTTTTCCAGTGTTAAAAAATAGGCTTGGTAAATATAATCTTGCTAATTGAGTCTGGCTAATTAGTCTTGCTAACCAAAGAGGCCATTGTTAGCCAGCATGAATGCATGCAGAGTGAGCCAAAGAGAAGGCCTGCTGCTAGTTTGAGATGACAGAACCACCACTGTTAACTTGCCTTGCTGCTGCCATCTGCAAAAAAACACTAACAAACCACAGAATAAATCAAATGGGGTGGTGGTCCAGTCATTTCAAACCCAGACATTTGTCAGCAACATAGAGCAATCCAAACTGGTATTACATGCTGGGGGAGGGTGGGTTCAAGACCCTGGAGTAGTAGAAATTACAATGTAGCCACTAGTCAAGTTGAACT